GGTGGGTGGGTGTGTGGGGGGGTGGTAGGTGGGTGTCCCCATCTGCCCCTGGGGATGACAATCGCTGTCTGCCCCAGGGATGGGTGGTCCCACTTGTCTCAGGAGGTTGGATGTCCCCACCTGTCCCCAAGGTTCCTGCCCATGTACCCCAGAGGGTGGAGGTCCCAAACTGCCCCCCATGGGTCCCTGCTGGAGGGGACACTCTGCCCTCGAAGGGGACATGGGTGTGTGTGGGATGGTGTGGGTTAAGGGGGTGTTCCTGCCTGGCCCCAGAGGTCCTGCCTGCTCCCAGAGGTGCCATCTGCCCCGGGGAGGGGGTGGGGAATGTCCTCACTTGTCCCAGGGACTGGAGGGCTCTGCCTGGCCTGGGCCACTGCTGGGGACACCCTCTGGCCTCGAGGGGGTGGGATGGGGGGTGTGTGTATGGTGGGGGATATCACCCTCTGGCCCTGGGATGGAGAGGAGGGAGCTCTGTCTGGTCCTGGGGTCCCATCTGCCCCCAGGGGGTGGACATCCCTGAGTGTCCAATCTATCCCAGAGCAGGGGTTGTCCCCGTCTACTCTACAGTGAGGGATGGGGGTTCATGCTCCCCCCTCCCCCCCATCTTCCCCAAGAGGTCCCCAACTGCCCAGGAGACTCTGCAGTGTGGAGGTCCCTGAATGTCCCCAGGGGTCCCTGCTTGCTCAGGTGCCCCTTCCGCCCAGGGGTGGAGATGGGGGGAGGTGGGGATGTGGAGGGGCGCTGGAGGTCCCTGATTGTCCCCAGGGGGGTCCCCACCTTCCATGGGGAGGGGGTTTGGAGTAGGGGATGTCTCCCTCTGACCAAGGGGTTGGAGGTCCCTGAGTGCCCTCACCGGAGGTAGGGAATGTGTGGGGCAAGGCAGGGGGAGTTGGAAGCCCCTGCCTGCCCTGGGAGGAGGATGATGAGGATGGAGACCATGGCGGCTGACCCGCGGCGCAGGTGTTCAGGGTGGAGGTACTGTGCAATGGCCGGCGGCACACAGTGGCGAAGCGCTACAGCGAGTTCCAGGCGCTGCACAAGCGGGTGAGACCCCCTGGCATCGCGGTGGGGGGAACACGGGGAGGGGACACCAGCTCCCCAGAGCGGCCTCCTCCTTCTCCTCCTCCATGGTCCATGCTGCCATGGTCTCCCCATGCTCTACCCTAGATCAAGAAGACCTGCAAGGTCCCCGACTTTCCCCCGCGCCGTGTCCCCAACTGGATGCCCAAAGTGCTGGAGCAGCGCCGGCAGGGCCTGGAGCTCTACATACGGGTAAGGTGCCGGCCGGTGGCGCCTTTGGGAGGGTGTTTTTTTGGGGTGCTGACCCCCTATCCCCTTGGTTGCACGGCAGGGTGTCCTCTACCACAATGAGGAGCTGCCCCAGGACGTGCTGGACTTCCTGAAGGTGCGGCGGTGCCAGCAGGACCCCAAGGCCACCAGCCCACCGTGAGTAGAGCAGCGAACGGTGCCACTGGGCTCTGCCAGCACCCAGTTTATCCCGCACAGTGCCAGGATTGTCCCCCTCACCCACGTTGAAGACCCCAAAACAGAGGGCTGGGGACAACGGGGACAGGCAGGGGCCTGGCAGGCTGACACAGGGTGAAAGTGGGATGCTTCACACGGTGCTGATGTCCCCTCTCCCGTCCCAGCACTGTCCACCTGCCCTCCCAGCGGCCCGTCATCGGCTTCTGCACTGACCCCTATGTGCACCCACCGGGCACCGGTAAGGAGGACACTGGGTGGTGGTCCCCAAAGCCTCCAAGGGAAAAGGTCCCCCCAAAACGTGTCTTTCCTTTAACGGGACCTGGGAGGGAAACAGAAGTGCTCCAGCTCCTCGCTTTTCCTCGCAGACCTGCTCCCCGACACCGTCCTCAGTGGGGTGCTGCAGGGTCTCTACCTCCCTTGGAGGTGCAGCCCCCACCAGGCAGCACCTCTGGCCCCATGCCCACCGGGGTCCTGAACACCCACCCAGCACCCAGGGCTGCAGCGGGAGGGATCCCTGCGGGAAGAACAACCTCCTTGCAGCAGCCGGAGCTGGGCTGGGGCAGGAAAACTGGGTGGGAGAAGCCAAGGGAGTATGGTGGGAGCCACAGGTGGTCTCCAGGCCAGCGCTGCTCACCCACCACCATCCAACGTGCCTCTGTTGGGAGAGCAGGAGCTCTGCCGCCTTCTGCCCTGCTGGTTTGGGCTCGCGGTAGGAGCCCTTGGAGGCTGAACCATGCTGGAAAACCTCTCAGCATCCAGACTTTGGTGCAATAAATCACTCGGGCTCGATTGGCAAAAGATTGCGGCGCTTGGTTATTCTGTGAACCTCCGAGAGCAGAAGAGAGGCGACTCTTTAAAAAACACATTGGTCACGTTTATTGGCGCATGTGCTTCTTACAAAAGTGATGGGAAGAGGAGCCAGCGCCCTGTCCTGCCCGCTGGAAGGCGGCAGGGTGCAGGGGGAGGCCGGGCAGTGGGGCACAGCGGCTCTGCTGCTGCTCACCCGCCCCGGGGACGACAGGGAAACGCACGGAGGGAGGAGCAGGGCAGCCCCAGGCCCACAGCCCTTCGCGGCCGGGTCCCTTTAGAGATCGCAGGGCCCCGCGCCGTGTCGCAGAGCCCGGAGGGTGGATTACTCTTTGGCGATGGCGAATGGCTTCTCCACCTCGATGGTGCCGCAGTCGGCGATGACAACGTCCTTCAGGGGTTTGTCCCGGCTGTCTGTCTTAGTGTTCTCCACCTTCCTCACCACGTCCTGGGGACAGGAGAGGCGTGAGAGCGGGGCAACGCAGGGCACAGGCAGAGCCAGCTCAGTGCAATCCTCATCCCAGAAGTCACCTCCCAAACCCTTCTCCACAGTGCTCTGCCTCCAGCCAGCTCTCCTGGGCAGCATCTGCCCTGTCCCACTCTCCCCCTGGGAATCGATCACCCCCTTACCATGCCCTCCAGCACTTTGCCAAACACCACGTGTTTGCCGTCCAGCCACGGCGTCTTCACCGTGGTGATGAAGAACTGGGAACCGTTGGTGTCCTTGCCGGCGTTGGCCATGCTCACCCAGCCGGGGCCGTAATGCTTCAGCTTGAAGTTCTCATCGGGGAAGCGGTCCCCGTAGATACTTTTTCCTAAGGGGGAGAAAAAACCAAAATGCCTACGTTGCTCTCACAGAAATATGTCAGGGTAGAGGCGATGACTGTGTCTCTCTCCACAGGCTGGGTGGGGTGAATGGGCACATCTAGGGGGGGACTAACTACCAGCACCACAGGGCTGCAGGGAACCATGAGCTACCGGAGGGAGGTAAAAGCTCCCCACGAGCTGGGCAAGAGGGATTATGCCCTCAAGGGACTGGAGCAGGAGGCTGTGCGACAGCAGACCTGATAAGAGCTTACAAGCCCAAATGCTGCTATCGTCAACTTTACTAATATTTGCTAAGTGCTGGTGGAAGGTCTGAACGCTGCTACTACTGGATTAGATGTGTCCTGGCAGCCAGGACGCCCGGCAGAGGCAGCAGCTGCTGCAGAGGGGAGTTTTCTCAGTGAGGAGCTCCAGGTCCTCCCTAGGCAGAGGGCACAGTTACAGGGGTGGCATTCAGGTGCCAGCCAGCCAAGGGTCACTGCGCCCATCCCTCCCCAGCACCGAGCTCTGCTTCGAGGTCAGGTCTCCACGAGCTGTGTGCCCACTCGCCCCCGCTGTGGTACCATGCTCCAACTCCACATTGGTTCCCCAGGGGGAAACTAGGTGTGGGTTGGGAGCGTGGCCGCTGTCTCGCTTCAAGACAGCGCCTGGATCCCTGGGCTGGTGCGGGAAAAATTACCTCCAGTGCCATCTCCACGGGTGAAGTCTCCTCCCTGGATCATGAAATCCTTGATCACACGGTGGAACTTGCTGCTCTTGAAGCCGAATCCTTTCTGGGGGTGGGGAGGGAGAAAATGGAATGAGGTAAAGGGATGGACTGGAGCTCCCTCTGTCCGGCTCTGCCCCAGGGTGCTAAGCAGGAGCCTCCCAGGGGTCCCAGTGAGGCCCAGCCAGGCAGCCGCTGGCCCCTCACCTCTCCAGTGGCCAATGCCATGAAGTTCTCCACCGTCTTGGGCACCGTCTTGCCAAAGAGCCCGATGACGACACGACCCACATCCTCCTCCCCGATCCGTAGGTCGAAGAATACCTTGGGGAGGGTTGATGAAGGTAAGCTGGAGGGGAGCATCAGCTTGCTGGGCCAATTCCCCCCCGCCCTCCCCAAGAGTCTGACCCACCAGCCCTAACCTCCCTGGGCCAGACCTC